GTGTGTGGTTGACACAGATTTGATGCCTTACAATAGGTGTCTCTTTGATTTTTAAACATCTTAAGACATGTCATTGCCAGACAGGGTAAAGCCTATTCTAATTATTTAGTGTTATTATTGGTATTAATAACACGAAGCTATTTAACTCTGGGAAGCCTGAGTCTCAAGACTTGTTTTCAAGAGGGTCGTGCCATATGTTTTGCAGTAGGGGGCGATGTTGCTGTTGAGATCCAAAAGTTTGAGTATCGAGATGCTTGGTTTGTACCAGTTGCAGTGTGCGTACTTTTTGTTCACTATGGCAAAAAACTGGAGAATTCGGGAGAACAGGGAGAGAACTAAAAAAAGACTCCACACACTCACACCATCATACTGACAAGACAAAGATTCCCCGTATAGCCTGTAGCAGACTGCTGGGGCAAGTGCTGTTGGTGATCACCTAAGAAGGCTGGCACGGTATACGAGGGGGTGGGTGGCCAGCACGACACCTGACTGCCCCTCGTCTCCCTGGTGGCGATGTTTACACATTGCATGAGGTACTTATTTGAGGCTAAGTCGACCTTGGGGAAGCCCACGACCGGGTCAGATGATCGTCACTGGTGTTGGCCGTGAGCGGTTTTTGAACTCGGGTCGCCGGGTTCGTAGCGCGCTAACTGCTACACCGCCGCCCCCGTCATCACACACTGGCTCTCACGCACTGCAGAACGGGACGGAGAGCATACAAACTTCACACAGAGAAGCAATGATTCACAAAGAAACCCACACTGTTTTTACACTGAACTGTGTGTGGTTAAACCGGGTTCTCAAGTGCAGTGAGTTCATGGTCAACCCAGGTCACCAGTGAATTACACAGAGACCCGTGGGCTCACACCGAGAGAGACCCGTGGGCTCACACAGACACCCGTGGGATCCAACAGAGACCCGTGGGCTCACACAGAGACCCGTGGGATCACACATAGACCCGTGGGATCACACAGAGACCCGTGGGATCACACAGAGCCCCGTGGGATCCCACAGAGACCCGTGGTATCACACAGATACCTAGATACAGTAATGATTTAGACTGGGCTGTAATTAAACCGGGTTTTCAAGTATAGCGAGTTGATGGTGCTAGCCCAGTCACAAATGATTGCACGCAAAAAAAACACCATCAAATTAGATTTCACGTTTTACTTCCTGTGCCTAAATTCTGGCTTTCCAGTTCTGAGAATCAAAACTGTTTTCAGTTTGACTGTCATGCTTCGAACATCTCAAGAGCAGATCACAGGAGATGCAGTACTTCCACCTCTCTGGCCTCGCTACGAGCGGTGAATAAGCCGCATTGCCCGAAACGTCGCCTACTACAGTAATATACCTTTTCTTTTTAGGGTCCCAAGCAGTGTTGCTATTGACGAAGGTGTCGAGGTGTTGTTAATTGTCCTTAGTGTACCACTGCCAAAGCTGTTAATAACGTATTAATAACCTATTACAGGACTACTACACTTGTTTATGCAGGAAAGTATTGGCTAGTCACAGGAGGATGATGTTGCTCCCATGTGTCAGTCCGATTGAGTCATCTGCATATAATTATATTTCAGTAACGGGGTGTTTGGCTAATACCAGTTAAAACCTCACAGTCTCAAAGAGTTTTGATCAGGAGGGCCCTGTAGCTCCAGTGGGATGTCTGACCACTTCCACGTTTGCCGAGCTTCATGTGGGAAGACAACCAGAGAACCCAGAAAAAACCCCACCATGTATACTGGAGGAAAACACTCAACATCCTGCATTCACATTCATATTCCTGAATCCACTTACGTTAAACCCTCTCTTGACCACCTTTCATCCCAAGCCTACAACACCTGGTATTCCCAGATAACCTCCTCTCCACGTACTAACCAGGCTGAGCCCTGCTTAGCTGCCGAGATCTGATGAGATCAGGCACCTCTCCGACTGATCCCGAGACACTGCTAAAGCACAACTCCACGGAGCTGCTGCCCACCAGCTCGTATGACTGGGAAGCCTGACGGTTTAATGGCCCTGAACAGGGAAACTTTATTGAGCTGAATAGACACGACTAGGCACATGATGGCGAGCAGGTGGGGACAGCAAGGACCTCCATGCTCATCAATGGGCTCACCCATACACACTAAGACTCACCAACGGGCTCACCCACTCACCAACGGGCTCACCAACGGGCTCACCAACGGCCTCACCCACTCACCAACGGGCTCACCAATGGGCTCACCCACACACACCAAGACTCACCAATGGGCTCACCCACACACACCAAGACTCACCAATGGGCTCACCCACACACACCAAGACTCACCAATGGGCTCACCCACACACACCAAGACTCACCAATGGGCTCACCCACACACACCAAGACTCACCAATGGGCTCACCCACACACACCAAGACACACCAATGGGCTCACCCACACACACCAAGAGTCACCAATGGGCTCACCCACACACACCAAGACTCACCAATGGGCTCACCCACACACACCAAGACTCACCAATGGGCTCACCCACACACACCAAAACTCACCAATGGGCTCACCCATACACACCAAAACTCACCAATGGGCTCACCCATACACACCAAGACTCACCAATGGGCTCACCCACTCACCAACGGGCTCATCCACTCACCAACGGGCTTCACCCACTCACCAATGGGCTCATCCACTCACCAATGGGCTCATCCACTCACCAACGGACTCACCCACACACACCAATGGGCTCACCCATACACATCAAGACTCACCAATGGGCTCACCCACTCACCAATGGGCTCACCCATACACATCAAGACTCACCAATGGGCTCACCCACTCACCAATGGGCTCACCCATGCACACCAAGACTCACCAATGGGCTCACCCACTCACCAATGGGCTCACCCATACACACCAAGACTCACCAATGGGCTCAACCACTCACCAATGGGCTCACACACTCACCAATGGGCTCACCCATACACACCAATGGGCTCACACACTCACCAATGGGCTCACCCATACACACTCACCAATGGGCTCACCCATACACACCAATGGGCTCACACACTCACCAATGGGCTCACCCATACACACCAATGGGCTCACCCATACACACCAATGGGCTCACCCATACACACCAATGGGCTCACCCATACACACCAATGGGCTCACCCATACACACCAATGGGCTCACCCATACACACCAATGGGCTCACCCATGCACACCAAGACTCACCAATGGGCTCACCCATACACACCAAGACTCACCAATGGGCTCACCCATACACACCAAGACTCACCAATGGGCTCACCCACACACACCAATGGGCTCACCCACTCACCAATGGGCTCACCCACTCACCAATGGGCTCACCCACTCACCAATGGGCTCACCCATACACACCAATGGCTCACACACTCACCAATGGGCTCACCCATACACACCAATGGGCTCACCCACTCACCAATGGGCTCACCTATACACACCAATGGGCTCACACACTCACCAATGGGCTCACCCATACACACCAATGGGCTCACCCATACACACCAATGGGCTCACCCATACACACCAATGGGCTCACCCATACACACCAATGGGCTCACCCATACACCCCAATGGGCTCACCCATACACACCAATGGGCTCACCCATACATACCAATGGGCTCACCCATACACACCAATGGGCTCACCCATACACACCAATGGGCTCACCCATACACACCAATGGGCTCACCCATACACACCAATGGGCTCACCCATACACACCAATGGGCTCACCCATACACACCAATGGGCTCACCCACTGACCAATGAACTTCTGTATACTGCAATGTATACTGTATATTGTAGTGAATAATGTATGCAGTGTATAGTCTAATGTGTACCGTATGTAGCACATTCTGTATGTCTAGTACGTGTAGATGCAGTACATTGTAGGCAGCGTATACTGTACGCAGTGTGTACTGTATCCCTATATACTGTTCGCGGTGTGTACTGTATGCCATGTATACTGTACGCATTATATACTGTATCCTGTATATACTGTACGCGATGTACACTAGTCTAGTGTACACTGTACACTATATTATACTGTTTATACCGTACCTTCTGTATACTATATATTAACTGAATAATAGTTTTTAATATATTTAGTGTATACTGCCGTGTATACTACATCTACTGTGTATACTGCATTACAGTATATTGTATACGGTGTATAATACAGTATACACAATGTATACCACATATAGAGTGTGCCAGTGTATGTTGTATTATACCGAACACTGCATGTGGCGTACACACCATGTGTAGTATGTGCCATGTACATGTGTAGTATGTGCCGTGTACATGTGTAATATGTGCCGTGTACATGTGTAGTATGTGCCGTGTACATGTGTAGTATGTGCCGTGTACATGTGTAGTATGTGCCGTGTACATGTGTAGTATGTGCTGTGTACATGTGTAGTATGTGCCGTGTACATGTGTAGTATGTGCCGTGTACATGTGTAGTGTGTATACGTGTACATGTGTAATATGTGCTGTGTACATGTGTAGTGTGTATACCGTGTACATGTGTAGTATGTGTACTATGTGCTGTGTACATGTGTAGTGTGTATACCGTGTACATGTGTAATATGTGCTGTGTACATGTGTAGTGTGTATACCGTGTACATGTGTAGTGTGTATACCGTGTACATGTGTACTATGTGCCGTGTACATGTGTAGTGTGTATACCGTGTACATGTGTACTATGTGCCGTGTACATGTGTAGTGTGTATACCATGTACATGCGTAGTGTGTATACCGTGTACATGTGTAGTGTGTATACCGTGTACATGTGTAGTATGTGCCGTGTACATGTGTAATATGTGCTGTGTACATGTGTAATATGTGCCGTGTACATGTGCAATATGTGCCGTGTACATGTGTAGTATGTATACCGTGTACATGTGTAGTATGTGCTGTGTACATGTGTAGTGTGTACACGCGGGCCGTGCGTGCAGGACACCTACCGCATGCGGCCTCCCGTGTCCTGTGGTCGCCGCACGCAGAGCCCTGGGCAGCGAGTCGAGGGGGGCCCCGCTCCGGGGTCTCTTAATGGTGGGGGGGGGGGGCAGAGACAACGAGGGGAGCCACGGGGGAGGGGCTGGGGAGCCACGGGGGAGGGGCTGGGGGTGGGGGGAGGCGCTGGGCCGGATTCAACGTCACGGGCCCCGCCCCGGCGACTCCGCGCACAACAACAGCGGTGACGCCCTCGTCAGTCATCATCATCATCGCGGGGTCGGTCCCCCTCGCAGGGACCCCCGTCACACGGGATGCAGGGTCCCTCGGGACACAGAAACCCATAGACTCACACAGAGACCCATAGACCCATAGACCCACACATAAATCCATAGACATACAGAGACCCACAGACTAACACAGAGACTCATAGACTCACACATAGACCCATAGACTCACACAGAGACCCATAGACCCACACATAAATCCATAGACATACAAAGACCCACAGACTAACACAGAGACTCATAGACCCACACATAGACCCATAGACTCACACAGAGACCCATAGACTCACACAGAGACCCATAAACCCACACATAAATCCATAGACATACAGAGACCCACAGACTAACACAGAGACTCATAGACTCACACATAGACCCATAGACTCACACAGAGACCCATAGACCCACACATAAATCCATAGACATACAGAGACCCACAGACTAACACAGAGACTCATAGACTCACACATCGACCCATAGACTCACACAGAGACCCATAGACCCACACATAAATCCATAGACATACAGAGACCCACAGACTAACACAGAGACTCATAGACTCACACATAGACCCATAGACTCACACAGAGACCCATAGACCCACACATAAATCCATAGACATACAGAGACCCACAGACTAACACAGAGACTCATAGACTCACACATAGACCCATAGACTCACACAGAGACCCATAGATCCACACATAAATCCATAGACATACAGAAACCCACAGACTAACACAGAGACTCATAGACTCACACATAGACCCATAGACTCACACAGAGACCCATAGACCCACACATAAATCCATAGACATACAGAGACCCACAGACTAACACAGAGACTCATAGACTCACACATAGACCCATAGACTCACACAGAGACCCATAGACCCACACATAAATCCATAGACATACAAAGACCCACAGACTAACACAGAGACTCATAGACCCACACATAGACCCATAGACTCACACAGAGACCCATAGACTCACACAGAGACCCATAGACTCACACAGAGACCCATAAACCCACACATAAATCCATAGACATACAGAGACCCACAGACTAACACAGAGACTCATAGACCCACACATAGACCCATAGACTCACACAGAGACCCATAGACCCACACATAAATCCATGGACATACAGAGACCCACAGACTAACACAGAGACCCATAGACTCACACATAGGCCCATAGACTCACACAGAGACCCATAGACTCACACAGAGATCCATAGACCCACACATGAATCCATGGACATACAGAGACCCACAGACTAACACAGAGAGAGAGACCCATAGACCCACACAGAGACCCATAGACTCACACAGAGACCCATAGACGCACACATAAATCCATAGACATACAGAGACCCACAGACTAACACAGACTCATAGACCCACACATAGACCCATAGACTCACACAGAGAGAGGCCCATAGACTCACACAGAGACCCATAGACTCACACAGAGATCCATAGACCCACACATAAATCCATGGACATACAGAGACCCACAGACTAACACAGAGAGAGACCCATAGACCCACACAGAGACCCATAGACTCACACAGAGACCCATAGACGCACACATAAATCCATAGACATACAGAGACCCACAGACTAACACAGACTCATAGACCCACACATAGACCCATAGACTCACACAGAGACCCATAGACTCACACAGAGACTCATAGACTCACACATAGACCCATTGACTCACACAGAGACCCATAGACTCACACATAGACCCATAGACTCACACAGAGAGAGACCCATAGACTCACACAGAGACCCATAGACTCACACAGAGACCCATAGACTCACACAGAGACCCATAGACTCACACATATACCCATAGACTCACACAGAGAGAGACCCATAGACTCACACATAGACCCACAGACTCACACAGAGACCCATAGACTCGCACAGAGACCCGGAGACTTATGCTGAGTTGTAATTAAACTGGGTTCTAAGGTTTAGTGAGTTCACGGTCTCAGCCCAATGACCGCACATCGTAATAAAAGCACGTAAAATAACTAAATGTTTTTTTCTATTACTGTAATCTTTGGATAAATTCCAACTCTGAGAATTACAAAAAAACATTGCAGTATCAGCTTGATTGTCACGCGTCAAACTCATACTTTATAGCGGAGTGTGGGAAAGCGTGCCGCCTTCTGGAGAAAGAATACAAATGCCACGTAAAGGATTTTGGGGGGGGATCCTCTTGCTCAGCTATTCCCAGACACATGGAGATGATTTATCAGTAAACACGGAACTTTGGACCAACGTTGATCCAACATTGGTCCAACGTTGATCCAGCAGTTCCATCTCCATGCCAATGTTGGCCCTTCAGCGTTGACACGTTTGCCAGAGATAGCTAGCCCCTCCCAATGGATTCTTCATTTCGTAATGAAAATGCTGCCGATGGCACAATTGGAATGAACTGTGTTGAAAAAAATAAACACAGAGAAAACTCATTTAAAAATAAAAAAAATAAACCCAAGAGATTAAATGTGTGATTTAAAAGAAGGTAAAAAGGTCGAGAAACTTGCTCGGCATCGGCAGGCTGGGGTCACAGTGAGGAGAGCGGTAGGCGGGTCTCACTAAGTCACGATCACAAGGTGAGCACACCAGCCATGACGCATTGGCACGATGGAATACGGTAAATATAGCACAACAAATCTTGACTTGAAGCTTTCGTGACTGCAGGGATTCATATTCTTTGGGTCTTTCGGTAAAGTCACGTAGATAGTTTCAAAGAAAATAACACCCCCCCCCCCCCCTCTTCCTGATGACGAACGCTTGTGTTGCGATCGAAACGTCGTAGTTTTTTGTTTATTTTCTGTTATTTTCTTTGAACCTATCTACGTGACTTTACCGAAAGACCCAAAGAATATCAAGCACAACAACTATAGAATATAAACATTTTGTGACACGCCGCTTTGTCTGCACGAAACACATTAAGTTCATTAAAAAAAAATTCAGCCCGTTGGTCTGCCAATACCAGGGAACCCTCCATGTAGTATTTAACAATGACATTCGTGTCCATAGTGACACCGCTCAGCTGCTTGGCACAGCAATCCCCTGTGAGCTGGCATGATGGAATGGCAGTGTTGCTGATCTGGCCAAGAAGGCATCGAAGAGGTTTGGGTTTCTATTGCCGTGCCAAAGCCTTTAAAGACTTTAGGCAATAATCACTGCTCCTGTGGTAATCAAAAGTCTGACCCAGGTTGGAATCCTGCTCCTCCTGCTGCTGCTACTTTCACATCTGGGATTGAGGCTTCAGTTCTTTACCTCACTGCGCGTCAATCAAAGTGATTGATGTGCATATCCAGTACTGGCTAAATCACTCCGGTCACTCGCTTACTAGCAGAAAGTCGCCTTCTTTTCACTCTACGATCGCGACTACTACTACCATAGTTACTGTTCCCCGTGGACTCCACTCGTTGATTCCTCCACCCGTGCTGAGGACACGGACTGTTTCGTCTAATCCACTACACTGTGTTGAACCGGCACTACACTGCTGGTCATGACAATACTCACTCGCTCACTCACCCACCCACTCACCCACTCGTCCACGCACTCACTCAATCGCCCACCCACTCACCCACTCACCCATCCACCCACTCGCTCACTCACCCACCCACTCACTCACCCATCCACCCACTCACTCACTCACCCTCCCACTCACTCGCCCATCCACTCACTTGCTCACTCACCCACTCACCCACTTGTCCACGCACTCACTCAATCGCCCACCCACTCACCCACTCACCCATCCACCCACTCGCTCACTCACCCACCCACTCACTCACCCATCCACCCACTCGCTCACTCACTCACCCTCCCACTCACTCGCCCATGCACTCACTTGCTCACTCACCCACCCACTCACCTACTCACTCATCCACCCACTCACCACGCTGCAGGTCACCTCACTTCTCGTTCTGCTTCTTCCCTCGCACTGCTTTATTCTGGAATTCCCTCCTCCCATCATCATTGTCTCTCTTCCCCTAAGCTTTTATTATAATAACAGCCTTGGTGAATTTAAGAATCACGGTTAACTCTTATCTATTATGAATTTGAAAGCAGTGTCATATGTTGCTGACCGCTTTACTCTGTTGGGGGGCCTTTGGGTCTTCTGCTCAGCAAGTGATAAAACGACAAAAAAACAAGGCTCACTAACCTTAAGGCGATGCGATGATTGTAACCAAGTGATCTTTGAAACCTGCTGAGATAACGTGGCCGCAATGAACCACCCAAGGGGTCTGACCTTGCGAGAAAGGGGACAGCTGAGTTTGAGCTTTGATAGTTCAGGACAAGCAAACTCTGGACCTGTTTCACAATTTAGTGTCCTATCAGAAACCTCACCGAGATCAAGCAACACAACGGAATACTTGGCTCCTCAACACAAACACTTCTCCTCCAACCACCAAACATAAACACTCCTCCAAATCACCAAACACAAACACTCCTCCTCCTCCAACCACCAAACCCAAACACTCCTACAACCACCAAACACTCCTCCAACCACCAAATACAAACACTCCTCCTCCCACAACCAAACACAAACACTCCTCCTCCAAACATCAAACACCAACACTCCTCCTCCAAACACCAACACTCCTCCTCCAAACACCAAACACTCCTCCTCCAAACACCAAACACAAACGCTCCTCCAAGCACCAAACACAAACACTCCTCCTCCAACCACCAAACACAAACACTCCTCCAAATCACCAAACACAAACACTCCTCCTCCAACCACCAAACCCAAACACTCCTACAACCACCAAACACTCCTCCAACCACCAAATACAAA